CCCCCAAGATGGAACGATTATAACTGGCGGGTGAGAGAAAGGCCACCATTGATGTCAGAAGCCTGCACCCACTCTAGGCCAGGATGACTTTAGATTTTTACCCTCCAGTTTTGTTTTAATTCTAGATAGGATCCAAGAAAAAGATGATGACTGTGAATACATGAAAGATTAGGAAGGATTAAAGAGGGAATGAGATCTTTCTGACTAGATGCCAGAGGGGGGAAGTAGAGAGAACTGCACTAGGCCTAACGAAAGAGGAGACCCCCTTCCCTCAGAAAAGTGAATTTAACATTTTCTTCAGGTCTAACTGTAAGGGAGACCCTCTTAAGTTCACCCGCTGTCCAGTTTGCTGGACTTCCTTTGCAGGTACCCACCACCTGGACCTCTTTCTCTGTGATGACCCCCAGAGCTTGGCAGCGAGTGGTGTGCACCTTCTTGGAGACAGGGAACACCTGCCAAAAACAAAGAAGTCCCAACTGAGATCCCAGATCACTGTAGGACAATTCATGAAGAAAGAGAAAAAAGTAAGAGATGAAAGGGGTGGGGTTGGGGGGGGGGCGGTAGCGTCAAGGATGCAGCATACTTTCCGACCCAGCAGCTGGTTGGAGAGTGTTGACTTCCCTGCATTCGGGGCACCCAGGAGGACCACTCTTAGGACCCTGGAGTTCTCAGGCATGTCGGGACGATGGACCAAGAGGAGATCCTGCTCATCTGTGTGTGGGGGCAGGAGGGGAGTGAGAGGTAGTGCAACCTGGATCCCTTATCAGGTACTCAGTCCTACCCGCCCACAAAGGAAGTAGGGCATAAAAGATAAGTGTACCAGGTTGAAGCTGAGACCTGGCTTTGAGACTTAGCTTGTCCATTAATTTGTTTATATGATTGTATCAAATTCTCTAACTTCTCTAAGCGCCTTAGTTTTCTCACATGTGAAATGGAGATAATATTAACAATACCTACTTAAAACCTTCTTTTGACAATTGGCAATTTTGTAGAAACAATCAACACAATGCCTGGCATTTAATACTCAATTACTGTGTGGAATTGTACTGTGCCTGATAAATGCATGTACATGTGTGAAAGTACAGCTAGTTCAGATAATGCCAGAAATCCCTCCAGCTCGGACAATCTCACCCTACTAAAGGTGTTATGAAGGCTCTGCAAGCTTTCTCAGTATTTTTAAGTATTAGTTTCTTATAATATTGCATTACAATGACCAGTTTTTGTGTGCAGCCTCCCTACCAGAGTGCAGTCTACATTACTTGAAGAACAGAGGGTGCTATTTCCTAGGTGTAACTCAGTCTCTTGACAAGTAGATTGGGCACTTATGGGACCAAGTTTGCTTTCCATCTCGGGGCAGAGAGCCACAATTCTGCCTTGCCTGTGGCCCTGAATCTCTTGCTCTTTGTGAGCGTCTCTGTTTGTGACCACATCAGTTCCCTCTGGCTCCCAACTCTTAAAACCTGGTATCTCTCTCCTGTGAGATCCTTCAAGGCTCGCCTCTCTCTCGAGGCCTCAAGATCGTTTTCCACAATATAGGACCAATGATGATATCCCCACGGACTGAGCAGTTTCCCCGACCCGGAACTTTCACTGCTAAAACCGTGACAATCGGGGACAAGCCTATCCGGGCCCTTTACCTCTGTGCATGGACACGCCGGGAGGGTGAGAAGTCAACGAACCGTCTGGCTGAGAGAGTCCAAGGAAGCGGTCCAAGGCTGAGCTCTGGCCATAACGGCGAGAGGGAGAGGCTAGGCGGGGACCAGAGAAAGCGGAGCCCGCGAAACAGGACACGCACCTCCGCTGCCAGTCAAAGAGCGAGGAGACCCGGGCTCCCCACTCCCTCACGGCATCGGGGCCCAACTGCCGGACCCTTAACACCGCCCCAAAGAGCGTAGCCGCGCGCCGGCTGGGGGCAGCCATTACAGCCGCAAGGCACTCCGGGAACTGACCAAGAACTCACCTACGATTGGATAGAGCGGTGGAAAAGCGAGCGAGCAGGACAGAGCTAGATTGGCCCAGAGTGCGGAGATACACGGGATGTTGGAGGTGAGATGGAGGGGGACCCCGCTCTGGACACTGACCGAGGCTAAGGAAAAGGAAAATGTGTATTTAGAGTTTGCGTGGACGTGATGATCGTTTTGGACTCCCATACACATCCTGTTTTCTTCTTCTCCTGCCAAAGTTTTGTAAAAGGTCCTTCTAGCCCAGGCTTCTGAGAGACTACATCTCCCATGAGGCCAAGCGGCAGAAATCTTTCTCAGTTTCTGACTTCTCCCAGCTGGAAAAACTGACGCATCGAAGGAGGAAAGGTCGTGGGAGCCAGAACGGGTGCTTTTTAGTTCTCCCTGGTTTCAGGCTTGCAGGTTCTCTCCCAGTATCCCTCTGGCTTGGCCTAGCGGTCCGCAGCGTTCTCCGACAGTCTGCATCATTGCTTCATACGAGCCTCCTGTAGGGAGTACTCCTTGGGTCGGTGTTCCCGAGGAGCAGCAGACCCGATTTCCCATCTATGAACCTCCGTTACTACCTCTTCCCTGAGGCCATTCCTTTCTGAAGAAAAACCAGAGGGTCTGTAAAGGGGAAGACGCTGCGTAGTCACCTACAATCCCCCAGATTGCCTTAGAGGCCTGAGGAACTTGATAATAAGTCGTTTTGCGGCCTTAAGCCTTAGTCATTCTTTGAAGCCTCTCAGTCAAACTCTTAAAATTGAGAGAGAAATGTTGCGGGGATTGGAGGGATGGGGATTTATTCATATGCTATGTACAGGACATGTCCAGGTGCGGGGATACATGAATTAAGAAAATGGAGGGACGCCTGGGTGGCTCCGTCGGTTAAGTGTCTGCCTTCCGCTCAGGTCATGATCCCAGGGTCCTGGAATGGAGCCCCACATTGGACTCTCTGCTCCGTGGGGAGCCTGCTTCTCCCTCTGCCTCTGTCTCTCATGAATAAATAAATAAAATCTTAAAAACAAAACAAAAAAAAAGGAAATGGACAAAAATCTCTTTCACAGGACTTGTGTCCTGGAGGCCGTGTGTGTGAGAGAGAGAGAGATGTTCATGACCTGACAGGAACAGTTCAGGTAGCATGGTCTAGGTGAAAACCTAAATGGATTGAGTTTAAGAGAGAATGGGAGATGGGGCACCAGGCTGCTCAGTCTGTAGAATATGTGGCACCTGCTCTCAGGCTTGTGAGTTTGAGCCCTACCTTGGGTTGGGCATAGAGCTTACTTAAAAAGAGAGAGAGGGGCGCCTGGGTGGCCCAGTGAGTTAAGCATCTGCTATCGGCTCAGGTCATGATCCCGGGGTCCTGGGATGGAGCCCCCTGTCTGGCTCCCTGCTCAGTGGGGAGCCTCCTTCTCCCAATCCCTCTGCCTGCTGCTCCCCCTGCTTGTGCTCTCTCTCTCTCTGTCAAATAAATAAAATCTTTAAAAAAGAGAGAGCAAATGAGAGGAGAGGTAATTGAGGAAAGCCAGGAAAAAAAAATATATATCTTTCCAGGGGAACAGAGCAAAAGGGAGTGCTAACAGAAGAGGGGGAGAGAAGTCGGGTTAAGAAAAGATTTTCTTTTCTTTTTAGAGATCAGAGATTTTTGTTTGCTCATGGCAGTGACCAGGTGGAGAGAAGAAAATTGATGATATAGGACAGAGAGGGCAGAATTGTTGGGAGGATGGTGGGAACCAACTGACTGGGCTGCTGTTGTGGGAGTGGAGGCTGAGTGTCCAGAGTGGCTCTGAGTGACACAGGATTGACGGAGACTGGCAGCTAAATGCACTGATGGTTTGCAAATGGCGCCAGGCTCCAGCTTTCAGGCTGCCTGCTCTATTAGCAGAGGAAACAACCTTTCTGGAACATGATATTCTGGATGTTCTTTGGGCATATGGGTGCCCAAAGAACAAAATACCACTTAATACAGGGCAGCTGGCAATCAGAAAAATACGAATCTTCTTCATGGACACTAAGGTGAAATGCCATTTCAACTGTAATTAGGATGAAGGGCAACTTCAGGTTAAATGGTGGTTGAAGAGCTTAATTAAATAAATGCAAAATCACCCAAGGAACACATACTAAGTACTACAGCATTGGCAACAGATAACACCTTGGAAGAATCCCTGGGATAACACAAAAACTTAGAGGAAATGTGTCAGAGTGCTTTGTTAATTCTCTTCTTTCCCCCAGATTTTCCCTCAAGGATATTGTGGGGAAATGCATTTTGTGAGATTAGGAGAGGCTAATCAAATGAAATAGACTGCGTGGATTCATATGTTAACTTGCTACTTATTAGCTGTGTGAGTTTGGACAAGTTATTTCAACTCTCCAAATGTCAGTTTTGTCATCTGTAAAATGAAGAAAATAATAAACACATCTACCTAATATCATGTGTTCATTTGAATCTAGGATTTAGAACAATGGAGGCTCTCAATAAATGTCCTTATCTTAAAGCTAATTGTTTTAATCTTTCTTTTCTATATAGACAATTTCTCTCTGTATTATATTCCTCTCATCAGCATTTATTTTAAAAATGCTTGATCTCGGGATGCCTGGGTAGCTCAGTCAGTTAAGTGTATGCCTTCAGCTCAGGTCATGATCCCAGGGTCCTGGAATTGAGCCCCACCTCGGGCTCCCTGCTCAGTGGGGAGTCTGCTTCTCCCTCTCCCTCTGCCCCTCCACGCCCCCCCCTTCGCTCTCTCTCTCTCTTTAAAGATTTTATTTATTTGTCAGAGAGCGAGAGCACAAGCAGGGGGAGCGGCAGGCAGAGGGAGAAGCAGGGTCCCCGCTGAGCAAGGAGCCCAATTCTGGGATCAGGACCTGAGCTGAAGGCAGATGTTTAACTGAATGAGACACCCAGGTGTCCCTTAAATAAATAAAACCTTAAAGAAAAAAAAAAAAAAGATGCTTAGGGGCGTCAGTTAAGTCAGACCCTTGATTTCGGCTCAGGTCATGATAATGGTGTTCTGGGATTGAGCCCCGCCTTGGGCTCCGTGCTCAGCTCGTAGTCTGCTTGAATTTCTCTCCCTCTGCCCTTCTCCTGCTTGCGTGCTCTCTCTCTCAAATAAATAAATCTTTTTAAAAATTAAAAAATCTTCCATTTGAAAAGCAAAAATCCAAAACTTCCCTGATCTGGAAGTCCTTTTCCAATTGGGTGTCACTGTATGTTTCTCACTAAAATAGTAGCAAAGGGGCGCCTGGGTGGCTCAGTCGGTTAAGCGTCTGCCTTCGGCTCAGGTCATGATCTCAGGGTCCTGGGATCGAGCCCCGCATCGGGCTCCCTGCTCT